AGTTAATCCTCAGCTTTTAAAAAATGTTCAAGCCAAATAAACATCAACAAATATATAAATTGTTCCCAGGTTTTATATTAAATATTAATTTTTTTTCAAAGTTTCTATTTTGTGGAAAATCTTTCTTCTTATGAAATTTAACTTTGCAAACTCTAAACATTATGTACGTATTTATGTTGTATGTATTTTGCTTAATGCTATGACAGGATTGAACTGAGTAGCTCATATGATTGGTACATACAACTTATAAGTCTTATGGCATCTATTGTATGAGATAAAAATTTTACTGCTTACACTCTCAAATCACATAAGCCATGATGTTATCCATATTTTTTGAGTGGGTGATACTTCCCAGGATTCTGAGTGTCTTATTTCAAATGACTGTAAATTCATACGCATTGTCTTCTGAGAAAAGAATGTATTATACCTCTATTGTCTTTTTCTCTAATACGCTGAGTGACAGGATACCGTTTGAAGGAGCCAATGAACTTGATCGAGTTTCATTAAAACCAGACACTGACATCTTGCAAAATGCATTTGCTGAAAATGACAGGTGAGTTCATTTTTATTGAATTTTATTTTAGAAAATGTATTTTTATTTATTTTTTTATTTTTATCTTTTATGCTTACAGCACCTGGTCTTCCTAGGTGGTCTCCCATCCAAGTACTAACCAGGCCGGATCCTGCTTAGCTTCCGATATCAGACTGGATCAGGCTTGTTCAGGGTGGCATGGCCATAGACAGTATTTTTAAATTATAGGTATTTTATTCTTGTGTCTCCATAAAGCTACTTCCACAGCACTGCACTGCAGGTTTCCATGGGCCGTGGCTTCATCCAGTCTGACGTACTGCAGCTCTTGCAGCTGCACATGATTCTCATGTATGGAGGCTGTGACGAGCCAGGATGAACAAACCACTCACTTACATTCTGTTGCACAAAATGTCAAATCGGAAATCGTACTAATACTAGTAAAACTTCAGCATTTAGGATTCCATAATAGAAGAAGTTCAAAGGCAAGAGTTTCATGTCTACATAAAAAAAAATGTCTAATAATAAGTTATTCATTCACAGAGCCATTTGTCATGAGCAGCATTCAAGTATAGATAGAGTAACTCAGTATTGAAGAGAAGTTATAAAATCATTCTCAACTGAACAGAAAATTTGGCTGACAGACCCTAAGATCCTCTCCATTTTAGGATATTTTGTTTCTAGATATTTTGGCAGAGATATAGCAAAAGATATACTATGGGTTTTGCTACAAATCACGTTTCCCTTGCATCTACCTTTATTTGGGATAGAAGAAATAAAGCGCAATAAATAAATAAATAAATAAATAAATAAATAAATAAATTAATAGAAACTAATCTAAATATATTTCTTCTACCCATATTTCTTAGACACGTATGTTTTATAGATTCTGCCAGGAAGTGTTAAGATATTGAGATATACTTCCAAAAAAGCTAATTAATTTTTCAAAGTTTTGGGCTGGAAATGCAGATTATATCTTGATATAAGTGACAAGAAGATATCTTTTATCAGGTTATTAGGAAATCTTTTGGACTTAAGTTTGCATGAGAAGATTTTATAATACACTGATGAGTTTCTCTCTATTCATTAAGCGAAAATATTATTTTAGAAAACCATTTTGAAAATAATGTGTATCCTTTCTTCCTTGTTTTAGGAATGCCAGACATGCTGATGGGGTTTTCACCAGTGACTTTAGTAGACTCTTGGGTCAACTTTCTGCCAAAAAATACCTTGAGTCCCTTATTGGAAAACGAGTTGGGTAAGAGGATTTATTGTTTTTATCAAACACATTATAATGATTTAATCTGGAAACTATATTTTCACTGTTAACAACTTATTTTGTCTCAAATTTATAACTCTCGATAATGTTCCATTTAGTTAAAACATCATTTATGTTCTTCAATAAAATATACCAGGCCTATGGATTAGAAGATAGGGCTTTCTAGTTATATCATACCCACTGGCTCCAGACACACTTATTTTTCTTTTGTAGCAATCATTTGTAAATTTGCAATCGAATTGAACTAATGCAATAAAAGTAGACATAATATAAACCGAAGCAAATTTTAAGATTAACCATAGTACCTGTTTTTTAAATTCCTACTCAAGCCAAAGATGGGATGATTCTTTCCTTAAATGGCCAAAGCTGAATATTTAGATGGCAGGATTCAAGTGGCATAGCTTTTAAGGGGCATATTTTTTAAGAGCTTTTCCTCCCAATAGCAGAACACAACTTTAAATATCCCTCCATTTCCTTCTTTTTTTTAAATGTAAATTATCAGTTAATACGGAATGTGCCTCAAGGCTCTCCTAGAAAATGTCAGAATGTGTTGGATTATTCCTTGCTCCCCTCTCTTTAGGCTTAAATGCATTTTTTCTTTTAGTATTTTTGAGATAGAAAATGAGTTGGGTGTTGGAATTCCTTTGTATATGATCCCAAGAGATTTGGAATTTTGATGTACTTATCATTTCTTGTTAAAACTCTGATTTATTTTTTCTCATATTTCTTAGCAATAACATCTCTGACGACCAGGGACCAATCAAACGCCACTCGGATGCAGTCTTCACTGACAACTATACCCGCCTGCGAAAACAAATGGCTGTAAAGAAATACTTGAACTCAATTCTAAATGGAAAGAGAAGGTAGAGAAACAGAAAACTTGCAAATGAGAAATTATAAATAACTCTCAAGCAGAAGCTACGAATGGAGACATATCTATCTCTCTATCTCATTGTCTATATTTACTCTGTGAAGCAGTAATTCTCAGCCTTGTCTGCCATTAGACTACCCTGCAGAATGTTTAAAATATTGATGTCTGAGCCTAATCCGAACTCACTGCCAGAAAATTAGTGCCTCTATGAGTATGGTTCTAGACATTTGTATTTTTTTAAGAGCTTCCTAGTTGATTCTATTTTGCCTCCAGTGTTAAAAATTATGTCTATACAGGTATCTAGTCTGAATCTGGAAACAGGTTTTATCAAAAGTGCTGAGTTTTAAACATGTAAAGCACATTCAGTTAGCAATTTGGTATCACATGGCCCTCTTTTTATGTGCAATTCAATTCACTTATTTTAACAAATTAAGCTTTTGTCTTCTCGTGTTGTGTGAAGTCAGAGAAGATGACTCTTTACCCACCAGATTATAATTCTGTAAAAATAATTTTATATGCTTTAAGATTGAAGAATAATTCATAGAAAATAACTAACCTAAAAGATAATTATTTAGCCCACAGAGCATTTTAGAGAACACAGATAATAGTATAGGTCACACATTGTTAGTTCCTTAGATGTTTTCTCATCTAAGAGCTTCAAAATGCACGATTTTCTTTTTCTGGTCTACAGCGCTGACGGAGAATCTCCTGATTTTCTTGAAGAGTTAGAAAAATGATGCAAACGCTCTTTGAGCAAAGCTGGTGACAACTTCCCAGTGGTGGGTATACCTATGTATTCTTATCATATTCTTACAGCAATCATCCAGGTATTTAAGTGGATAAGAGTCATTTTGGTGAGAAACATCTTTGAGCTCTCACAATGAGACCTCACCTAAGAAGAACACTTCCATCTGAAGTGAACCCCAAGCCCATAAACAGCTTAAAACGATTCATTAAAAAGAATAAACTAAGTGAAAACAGACTCACAAATACAGAGGACATTCTGGCGACTGCCAGAGGGAAGAGGAGTTGTGGGGCTGGGAGAAAGGGGTGAAGGGTTAAAGAGAGACAAATCAGTAGTTGAGAGCTGGTCAGTGGCACGGGGAGTATGGCATAGAGAAGTAGAAGTAGTACTGTAAGGGCTTTGGGTAGAGCCAGAAGGGTGATGTAGTAATCGAGATGGGGGGAGGGGAGCACTTCATAAACTACGTAATGTCTAGCCAATGTACTGGAGACCTGAAACTAACAATAAAAAAATCAGATGAACATTAAATATGAGAATGTAAAATAAATGCTGATTTAGAAATGAAAAAAAAAAAAACGGTTCATGCAGGTTGCTGATCACATAAAACAGAAAGCTCACAATGGGTAAACTCTGATCTCCTAGGTTACACAGAAATATTCCTCCCCTTCTGTCGAGATAGAAAACGAGGAGACTGACTCACACTAACGAGAAAAACTGGCTTTCTTTTTAAGATTCAATCCATACCATTTTTATTAATTGAAGCTTTAGTCCCTCGCTTGACTGCTAGCACCTCATTTAAGAACAGGGAACACCACCAAATCACAACATGGCTCATTATTATGAAAATGCGAAAGCACTCTGCATCTCATTGTATCCCTTGAAACAAAACAAACTGCATGGAGCAAAGGTTAAATTAGCTTATTTTACCAATAAATGTAGTGAGTATAGGTACTATGGCTCTATAGTATTCATTGTAAAATACTATTTGACTAGAAAAAACGTGAATAGGTTTTTTGCTTTGTTAAATAATAAGCTTATTATCATAATTGCTTTTATGTGTAAATCAATACACATATTTCTTTCCTGAGTATATTAATATTTACACTAACTCATAAAAATATATTTATAATACTTGGCAAGTGCTTAGTGAAATTTTATGTCCTTACTATATCAGAGGTTGCAAATTTTTTCTCTAAAGGCTACAGAATAGGATATTTTTGGCTTTCTGTGTTTTACGGTTTTTATTAAAACTACTCAACTCTGTTTTGGTAACAGGAAAGCAGCCACAAATAATACATAAAATGATCGGAGTGCCTGTGTTACAATAAAACTTTATTTGTAAAATGTGAAGGTCTGTGCTGGACTACAACCTCTGACTCTGTCAAGGATGTTAAACTAGACCCAGCTCAGACTGAAGACAATTCATGGTCTTTCTTTAGTCTTTGGAGCAAATACCTAAGGTTTTCATGAGAGTCCTTGAGAGCAGACAGGGTGTCTGGGAAGACGGCTGGACAGTGGGTTGTTTTTGTCCACTGATTATCCTGTCACCTCTAAGGGACATACAGGGTGCTGCACATGCCCATTCATTATTATAAATGGATATTTCAGAGAAACAAGTCTTTTTGCTCCCAGTTTATCCCATGTAATTTCTTGTAAAAAAGGTTTATAAGAAGTCCTCTCCATTAAATTAAGACATATAACAGACTCTAAAATACAAAAGAAGATAATCACTTCAATTGTGTAAGTTGTTTGATCATTTATGAGATTCCATCCTCTATTCTTTGTTTCTTTTTCGAATTGGTGGCTTAAAACAAATTCTCTTCTAAAGAAATCTTGTAGGTCAACCATTTGTGAAAATTAAAAATGAGTAATTATTAATGACCAACCAGAAAACCCCATTACATAACAGTTCCCTTCTGACAGTCAGTCTTTTGGAAGATGCCTCTTGATCTGTCACAACGCAATCTCCTGTCACAGGCTGTTGACAAGGGACAAAAAGAAATAGATGTGTCTCAAATGAGTGGCTAAGCAACTAAAACCAAAATGCTGTAAATAAAAATATGTTTTTGCTTAAATACCAATTCTTTCTTTTTCAGAATTATTGAAGAAAAATTATGGGTGAAATCATCATACTTTGAGTTCTACATAAGTAATTCAAGAAAACAGCTTCAATATCAAAACCAAATGAAATACTGTGTTGTGCATGTTGTGATTTATTTCAATGTAATAACTGTTGTTTACATTGCAAATGTTATTTGAGAGTTCTCATATTTGTCTTTAACTTGTGAAAATTCTGTAATCTCATATGTTGTGTATCCTTTCTAACAAAAATATATTTAATGATAAAAAATACTAGGTTAATTTCCATTATATGCAGCTTTTTGGAAGTGTAGTAATAGAACAAATTGATGTATTTATTTATAGAACACACTTAACTATTCAGAAGAGTGGAGCAGAAAATCAGTGTGTCCAAATTTGAATGTTAAGCAGATAGAACACTGTGCTAAATAAACTTCAAAATATCTAAGAGAATACCAACAAAAATACAGAGACTTTCTTCAAAAAATGATTTAAAAAAAAAATATTGGGTATTCCCACATTTGTGGGCAGCCTTTATTTTGAATGATATTAAAAATCTCTCGAATTGGGATCTCTAATTGCCAAAGGCTCTCATGTAGTGTTTCAATGAAGGAGAGAGAATGGCCTCTACTTCTGACATTGGACCTTCCTTTTATGTTTGTTTTAGGTATGCGCAGAATGTAAACTGAGTGAGCCATTTGTTTTCAGTAATACATATTTTTTCCACAATCGCTCAAAGAATGCTTTGGTCATACTGACTTCTATCATCAAAAGTATATGTGGAGATATAACTATTTTCCCTAAATGATTGTAAGGAATTAAATATAGAAAATAAAGAGGTTTGCTTATCATTGTAAACATTTTCTATTGTCTTGATTCTTTCAAAAGATGCAGCAGTAGCTGGTTTTAGGTCTAAAGTTTCAGGCACTAGATTGTTTTCGTGATGTTTAAGGAAGGACTTTGATTTTCTGTGAGTTTTAAAAATAGCAGTGACTTAAATAAGAGAGAAATTACTTTCTCATATAATGTCACAAGTAAAATGTCAAGGCTTAGTATGATGGTTCTGCTCCTCGAAGCCCTCAGAAATCTAAACCTCTTCCAGGTTATTCCACATGTTCTTAGGCATGGCACTTCTCCTCATGATCCAAAATTGCAACTAGAGTTCCAGACATCATATCTGTGGTCCAGGCAGCAGGATGGTAGAAGAGGCATGAAAAAGAAAAGGAAGTAAAAACTACACACTGAATCTCTTTTAATTTATATCTTATGCTATTATCCCCTTGACTACAACATAATTTTATGGTTACAGTCATTTGTAAAAGAGGCTGAAGAATGTTTTGTTTTTGTTTTGTGTGCCCATATAAAAACTGGGGTTCTATTAATATAAAACAAACAAACAAAAAGAATAGATTTATGTAGGAATTTATTTTTAAATCTCAGACTATGGATCTTCAGTTCTTACCGAAAAGGCTTAAAAATGATAAAATGGAAATCAGAAATACCCTAACAATTAAGGAAGAATCAATATTTGTGATGATTCTTTGTTTACTCTGCTACAATTAGAACAGATGGCCATGTAAGGAAAGACTAGTCTAGAACTAGCAGTAGTTACAAAGGAGTTTACACGGTTTGAAGTGAATTGGACTAATTCTATCTATTGTTCACATCTCATTTCACAAATTATTAAATATTTGTTAAGTGATTTTTCCATGCAAGTCACTGCAATAAAAACAGAAAACTTCCAGACGTTCTATACACACCGGAAGTTTACAAGATGCTATGGGAGCATAATTACAATGCAATGTAACGTGAATCTAAAGTTTTAATTTTGTTGTATTAATGTAAATCTTCCCAATTTAGTCCCTATTCTTTCAACAAATATTTATTGAATGACTCTAATGTGCAATGTAGAGATGCCAGACTTGAGTGTTTGGCCAGAGGGAACAGTCCCGGCATATGTGGACATCAAGGAAGCCAGTGTGGCCGGAGCAGTGTCCCCGGGATGAGGGCCGACGAGGAGAGGAGGTGGGAGAGGTTACCAAGGACTAGACCCTGAGGGGCCTCACAGGCCAGAGTGATTCCAAGGTAAATCGCCCCAGCGACGTAAGCAGCAGGGTCCGTATTAACTGTGATGAAGAAGACCGTGGGAAAGGGAGGCTCCAGAGAAGGGCCAAGAGTTCAGGTTTGGACGCGTTAAAGCTGACAGTGAGCAGAGCTAGGGTCTGCGTGCGGACTCGGAGGGGATGCTGCGCTGAAAACAAGCGCTTTCGGAGGCTTCCGCGTGAGGAGGGGACTTAGACGCACACAGGTCATGAGATCGCCAAGGGACCCGGCGAAGCCGAGAAAGAATCTCAACTCATGATGTTTGGGGGTCTAAGCCACAGAAATGTGTTATCTCGCCGTTCTGTACTCGCCGTTCTGCCTACAGACACCCGAGATCCAGGTGCCTGCAGAGTTGGTTCCTCTGAGGGCTGTGAGGGAGGGTCTGACCCACGCCTCTCCCAAGCTTCTGGTAGTTTGCTGCCAATCTTGACTGGTGGAAGCAGCATCTCCAGCTCTGTCTTGATCTTCACATAGTGTTGTCTCTAGAAATGGTGTGTGTGCGTGTGTGTGCGTGTGTGTGCGTGTGCGTGTGCATGTGCGTGCGCGCACGTGCCTCCAAATTTCTCCTTTTTGTGTGTGTGCGTGTGTGTGCGTGTGCGTGTGCGTGCATGTGCATGTGCACGTGCGTGCGCGCATGTGCCTCCAAATTTCTCCTTTTGGGGAGGACACCAGACATAGATTAGGGCCCATGCTAATGACGTCATTTTAACTCCGTTATCCCTGTAAGATCCTGTCTCCAATTAAGGTCACATTCTGATGTAATGGAGTTTAGTACTTCATCATATGACTCTGGAGGTGGGGAGGGGGAAC